AAAAAAAAAAGAGGGGGAAGACACAATTCAATAAAACCAGAGAAGAAAAAGGAAATGTAAAAACAGAAACCACAGAAATAAAAAGAATCATCAGGAATTACTATAAAAAGCTGTATGCCTACAAACTGGAAAACCTTGAAGAAATGGATACATTCCTGGACACATACAATCTACCAAAATTGAGTCATGAAGACACAGAAAACCTCAACAAACAAATTTAATCAAGAGGGAGACTGGATCAGTAATAAAGACCCTCACAACAAAGAAAAGCCCAGGACTGGATGGCTTCACTGCTGAATTCCACCAGACATTTAATGAAGAACTAATTCCAATTCTTCTCAAGCTATCCAAAAAAAAAAAAAAAAAAAAAAAAAAAAAATTGTAAAAGAGGGAATCCTCTCAAACTCCTTCTATGAAGCCTGTGTTACCTTTTTTTTCTTTTCTTTTCTTTTTCTTTTTTTTTTTTTTTTGGACAGGCAGAGTTAGACAGAGACAGACAGACAGAGAGAAAGGTCTTCCTTTTTCCGTTGGTTCAACCCCCAAGTGGCCGCTACGGATTAGTCTAGTGAGCCGTGGTGCTGGCCACGCCTGCGTTACCTTAAGATACAACAAAGAGAACTATACACCAATATTCCTAATGAATATAGACACAAAAATCTTCAACAAAATACTAGCTAACTGAATCCAACAACACAGCAGAAAGATCATTCACCTGAACCCAGTGGGATTTATCCCTGGTATACAGGGATGGTTCAACGTTCACAAATCAATCAATGTGATAAGAGAAAGCATCGGACAAAATACAACACCTTTTCATGATGAAAACCTTAAGCAAACTGGATATGGAAGGAACATTCCACAACACAAGGTAATCTATGATGAACCCACAGCCAGCATCTTATTGAATGGGGAAAAGTTAGAAGCATTCCCACTAAGATCTGGAATCAGACAAGAATGTCCACTCTCATCATTGTTATGCAATATAGTCCTATAAGTTTTAGCTAAATCCATTAGACAAGAAAAAGAAATCAAAAGGATAGAAACTGGAGAGAAGGAAGCCAAACCAGCCCTATTTGCAGATGACATGATCCTATATATAGATGTACAAAAAGACTCCACTAAGAGACTATTGGAACTCACAAAAGAGTTTGGTAAAGGGGCAGGATATAAAATTAACATACAAAAATCAATAGCCTTTGCATATATAGACAATGTCATGACTGAGAAAGATCAACCCCATTTACAATAGCTATAAAAACATTAAATACTTGGCCACCACCGTGGCTCACTAGGCTAATCCTCTGCCTGCGGTGCTGACACCCCGGGTTCTAGCCCCGGTTGGGGTGCCAGATTCTGTCCCAGTTGCTCCTCTTCCCGTCCAGCTCTCTGCTGTGGCCTGGGAAGGCAGTGGAGGATGGTACAGGTCCTTGGGTCCTGCACCTGCATGGGAGACCAGGAGGAAGCACCTGGCTTCTGGCTTTGGATTGGCGCAGCGCGCCAGCAGCAACATGCTGGCCATAGCAGCCACTTCGGGGGTGAACCAACGGAAAAAGGAAGACCTTTCTCTCTGTCTCTCTCTCTCTATCCCTCACTTTCTAGCTCTGCCTGTCAAAAATAAATAAATAAATAATAAATACCTTGGAATAAATTTAACCAAGGATGTCAAAGATCTCTACAATGAAAATTATAAAACATTAAAGCAAGAAAGACACAAAAAAATGGAAAAATCTTTCATGTCATAGATTGGAAGAATTAATATCATCAAAATGTCCATAGAACAAGAAGCAATTTACAAATTCAATGCAATCCCAATCAGAATACCAAGAACATTCTTCTCAGGTCTGGAAAAAACGATGTTAAAATTCAGATTAAAATACAAGAAAACCTTAATAGCTAAAGCAATCTTAAACAACAAAAACAAACTCAGAGGTATCACAATATCAGATTTCAAGACATACTGCAAGGCAGTTATCATTGAACCAATACTAGTACTAGCACAAAAACAGATGTGTAGACCAGTGGAACAGAATAAACTCCAGAAATCAATCCACACATCTACAATCAACTTACTTTTGACAAAGGAGCTAAAATCAATCGCTGGAGCCAGGACTGTCTCTTCAACAAATGGTGCTGAGTGAACTAGGTCTTTGTGTGCAGAAGCATGAAACAAAACCTCTACCTTACAACTTACACAAAGCACAGACAATCAAAGCCAAAATTGACAAATGGAATTACACCTCTACCTTACAACTTAAAAAAAAGCACAATCAAAGCCAAAACTGACAAATGGAATTACATCAGGATGAGAAGTTTCTGCATTGCAAAAGAAACCTCAGCAAAGTGAAGAGGCAACTGACAGAATGGGAAAAAATATTTGCAAATTACACAACTGTTACAGGATTAGCATCCTTAAAGAGCTCAAGAAACTCAACAACAAGGCAAATAAACCAGTTAAGAAATGGGCAAAGGATAGGCATTTTCAAGAGGAAATTCAAACAGCCAACAGACACATGAAAAAATGCTCAGGATCACCCAGTTAGATGGCTGTCATCTAGAAATCAATAAACAACAAATTCTGGTGAGGATGTAGAGGAAAAAGGTACCCTAATCCAATGTTGGTGGGAATGTTAACTGGTGCAGCCAGTATGGAAAACAGTATGGAGATACCTTAGAAATTGGATTATAGACCTAGCATATGACCCAGTCATCTGACTCATGGGCTTTATCCAAATGAAATGAAATCAGCATATGAAAGAGTGATCTGTACTCCCTTGTTTCTTGCAGCTCAATTCACAATAGCTAAGATATGGAATCAATCCATATGTCCATCAACTAAAGAGTAGATAAATAAATATATATATATATATATACACACACACACACAGTGGAAAAAAACAGAGTGGTACAAAAAAAGGAATGAAATCCTGTCTTTTGCAACAAATGGGATGCAACTGGAAACTATTATACTTAGTGAAATAAGCTAGTTCCAAAAAGACAAATACCATATTTTCTTCCTGATCTGTGGTAACTAATAGAGTACCTAAAATGTAATATATAGAAGTGAACTTGATATTTTGAGATTTGATGATTATATACAGCCCTTGTCTTGACTGTTCAGGAATATTGTTTTTTGCTTCATTAAAAAAAAAAAAGAATAAAAAAGAAAATGAATTAAAACATAACTTGATTTTGGTGTCAAAAGTTTTGATAGCTATATATTTTTTTCATAATCCATTTTTCATAAATATTTTGAAGTCCCTTCATGTGTTACCAGGCATAATAAATACTGTCACCCAATACTTATTACCTGTTTTCTATCCTTCAGTCATTATAAGACTCCAAAGAAGGTTTTGGAACTGCACAGTTGCCTACATTACAGAAGGGAATAGTTTATGTTTCAAGTCCTTTTTCCTGTGTCTGCTTCCATGGCTAATATTGTGCCAATTTTAATAATCTCTTAATTAAATTATTTGGTTTTTATTGAACTGAAGCAGTTGAACTAAGAATGAGAAAAGCACAGACTTTCATGATCATATTTTTTAGAGGAGGAGACAAAATAAAATTTTAAACACTTTTCGATTATAACTTGAATAAATACCTTTAAGAAAGGAGCATTTAACCAAGTTCTTTATGTATATCAGGCACAGTTCTCAGTGCTTTATGCATTTTAACTCACTTAACCCATACAAATATCTTATTGTGTGTTGTTAGTTATAAGGTCATTGCTCCTCACCCTATTAGAGGACTATGTTACCCAGTATTAGGATATAATAGAAAAACAAGAATAATTTGCTTTAAAATTAAAAATTCAAATACCTACTCAGAAGTAATAATTTTTTTTTTTAAAGCAGGGTCTGGCACTATGGCACAGCAGGTTACACCTCTCTTGTCATGCTAGCATCCCATCTGGGTGCCAGTTTGAGAACCAGCTGCTTCACTTCTAGTCCGGCTCCCTGTTAATGTGCCTGGGAAAGCAGAAGATGGCTCAAGTAGTTGGGCCCCAGCACCCAAGTGGGAGACCGGGAAGAAGTTCTTGGCTCCTGGTATTGACTTAGCCCAGCTCTGGCCATTGTGGCCATTGGGGAGTGAACCAGCGGATGGAAGATTTTCTATGTCTCTCTCCATTTCTCTTCCTCTCTCTGTAACTCTACCTTTCAAATAAATTAAAAAATAAACTTCTAAAAAGAAGAAAGTTTTCCGCTCATGCACTACAACTTTTTGAGTGCCTATTAGGTGCATTTTTTCCCTTTTAGTATTAAGGAAATTACAGAATTAAAATAAACATGGTGTGTTTCTTAAAGTATATTTATTCTAATATGGATGAGGCATGGTCATAAGAACTCTTTGGTATCTAGAAGTACTACCATATATTACCTTTGATATTCCTAGGCCTACTTATGGAGATAGATGACTGCTAAATTTTTTCAATGAATCTTTTTTTGTTTTGTTGTTAGCTCTTACCACATGCCTCGCAGTGTTACAAGGACTATAATGATAAACCTTATAGTATGAGACAAACAATCAAGCAGTTGCTTTGGGAACACACAATCAAGACATCTAACCTAGTCGTTTGAGCAGCAAAGACTTCATGGAAGACCAGTCATCTTATCTGACACTTGAACACTAAGTAAGAGTTAGCCAGGCAAAAAGAACAAAAGTATTCCCATTAAGGCAGAACAGCATGTGCAAAGAAAAAACAGGACGTTGAGGGAACTAAGAAGGAGTTAGTAAAATTGGGCAAAGAACTTTCTGAAATATCCTATGTATACATTATTTCTGGTTTTAAGTACTTACTAAAAGAGAATCTAGCCATTTATGGCTTATTCCTCTTTGATATAATTTATTTTAGTAACTACATGACATGTTACATTCATTCCAAATTCAAAAATCCATATACCCGATCTGCAAAAGCAGTTTGTATATAAATTGAAGCTGTTTCAATTTGACAATGTATAAAAACAGCTGAGAGATGCATTTCAAAACGTAGGACACATACTAACCTATTGGGTTTGTCAAAATGAACTGTGTTTTTACTCGATGAGGAAGATGGCATTCCTTCTTTTTCTCTTCTGGGGACAGAATTTGGGGAATTTTCTTTAGGAATAGTGGAATCAACTTCATCTGATATTGAAAGATGGATATCATTGTTTTTTCCTCTGTCTGAACTATTTACAACTGGACTCTGTCCACTTTCTTCAGAGTCTTTGTGCGGAGAGTGATCCACACACACTTGAATAGGTTCACAAACTGCTGGGATGGCAAATTGTTCATTCTTGAGGAAGTCCATTTCACTGTAAAAAGAAACACAGAAATTACCAGTGAACAACTTGTACTTTTGAAAACTTTGATAACAGCATAAGGTACAATAATGGGTTTAATGCTCTAGAAGTCCAACATATTAATAATGAATGGCTTGACAAGAGATAAAACTTTCCTGTACCATATTCATTGATGTTTCCTATATAGTCTTGTCAACTCTCAACAATGAAGCTTTGAAATAGCTTTATAAAACCTGCTTTTGATTAGCTCTTAACTCTCTTTTCTTCATCTGCAAAAAGGGAATAATTCCATTGAACTCACAGATAATAAAAATTAAATACATTAATGAAAGGGAAAGATGCTAAAACTAATGTGAAGAAGTTACTAACAATGACAACTCAAGGAAGAGTTATCTTATGTCTTAGTTCTAACACAACTGATTATAAGACCATTACACTGATATATAATAACTATGTAGGAGGAAAAAGGGACATCACTATTTTGAATATATAGAGCAGTTATATGACATTGTCTTAGAAGTATAGGAATGTGAAAAATGTAACTGAAATGTTGTTTCATATACTTACATAATTTGCCAGTATCTTTTAAAAACTTAAAGAGGAATTTTAGAAATGATGATCAAAGACTAACCTTTCAAGTCTTCTGATTTGTTCCATCAATGACCATTTCTCATTATTTAATAAACTAATTTTATCTTCTAACTTCTGTACTAGCAAGGAGTTCTAAAATCAAAACAGGAGAAAAACAGAAACTCAATATCTTTTGTATAGTATAAGTACTTTCTGTAGATGTGATTAGTTAGTGGCTATCTCTTACCTCTACAGGCTGAGAAGTTTCAAGGTTTGGAGGAAGGCTGCCTAAAATTGGGGTAAGGGCCTCTAATTCATCTTCTTCTACTCCACTTGCCACATCTACAAGATCTTTTCCAGTCACTTGATGATTCCCAAAATCTCGGTAAAGGTGCAGTAAGTCTGGAGGTTTTGGAATGTTTAATCCTACATCATCCCATAATTCAAAATCCTAAAAGATGAAAAAAAAAATCTTTGAGGAGATTTTACTCTGCATTTTTTAAAGCAATTATTTGAAGGGCAGAGTAACATAGAAAGGGGGGGTGGGATGCAGATCTCCCATGACAGTAGCAGGGAACCAAGTACTCTGCTTTCCTGAGTGCTTGAGCAAGGAGCAGGATTGGAAACAGAGCTGGGACTCGAACTGTAGCTCTGATATGGAATGCTGGCATCACAGTCAGCAGCTTAGCTGGGCATGTCACAATGCTGGCCCCTAATACTGCATTTGTGAGATTCATACCAATAATGCAAATATCTGGAAATCACATAATAACCATAATTTTGATGTAACATCTAAGTGTATGTCCCAAGTGAGTAAACATTGTTTTTAGGTTTATTTTAGGGGGGTGGTACTGTGGCATAGCGGGTAAAGCCATAGCCTACATGCTAGCTTCCCATATGGGAACTGGTTTAAGACCCAGCTGTTCCACTTCTGATCTGGCTCCTTAGTAGCTTATTCAATAAGGAATCATAGTTGAAAGGGCCTTTTTACCCCGAACAATGGATCAGTATTCTACCAGCATCTTTCAGAGAGTATCTTATGGGGCCAGTGTTGTGGCACAGCGGATTAAGCCATACCCTACAGCACCGACATCCCACATGGGCACCCGTTCAAATCCCAGCCAGTCCACTTCTGATCCAGCTCCCTGCCAGTGCACTTGAAAAGGCAGCAGAAGATGGTTCAAGTGCTTGGATCCCTGTACCCTTGTGGGACACCAGTAAAAACTCCTGGCTCCTGACTGGCCCAGCTCCAGCTGTTGTGGCCATTTGGGGAGTGAACCATTGGATGGAAGATCTCTTTCTTTCCTCTAGCCCCATAACTGGGCCTTTCAAATACATAAATCTTTAAAAAATTATATCTTCCAATGTTCAAGAACATCAGTTTCCTGATATTCCAGATAAACAAGTTTAATTGTGTTAGATGTCGAGATATTATATATGGGGCCAGTGTTGTGACAGAGCGAGTTGGGCCATTATCTGAGATGCCGGCATCCCATATGGGCACCAGTTCCAGAACTGGCTCCTGCGCTTTCAATCCAGCTCCCTGCTTATGTGCCTGGGGAAGTAGAGGAAGAAGGCCCAAGTACCTGGACCCCTGCCACCAAAATGGGATACCTGGATAGAGTTCCAGGCTCTCTGCTTAGGCCAGGTCCAGCCTCAGCCATTGTGGCCATTTGGGGAGTGAATCAGTACATGGAAGGTTTCTCTCTGTGTGTCTCTGCCCCTCTCTCTATAAATCTGCCTTTCACATAAATAAATTTTTTTAAAAAGATGCTATATATATATGTAATCTTCTTATTAGATCTCTCAAAAATGTAAACTCCTAATCTTAAGACTTATATTAATATTCAAGCTTCTAAAACAGCTCAAATATTTGCATGAAGTCATAAAACATGTCTAGGTTAAAAAAAGTCTTAGTTAACAAATTGTGCATTTTATTATAGATTATAAGAAAATTCACTGATGATATTCATTTTGTTCTTCCCTCCCTATTATTCTAACCTGTGCAAAAGCTAATGGGTAAGTAAGCAATTTAATCTGCTTATTTTCTTTCTATAGCTGTTTGAATCTAACTTCTGTTATTAAAAGTGATTTCAGTAATTTTTGGAACCCAACTAGTTGCTCTATGATTTATTGTGCATTGCATCATCTCTTTAACTCAATCTAACTCAATTTTATTATTAAAAGTACAAAAAGTCATAGCATTTCAAGCATTCTGTAGGCAGAGTTTTGGAAGGACTTGAAGTTCCAGAGCAATCAACTACATGCAATTCAATGTCTTGCCATTCTTCATTCCTAATATAACACACTTTAGTACTAATTTCATACCTTATAACACTTAGTTATATTTTCTTTACAAGATCCTCTTTGAGAAACCATGACAGATTCATTTGACTATCCTAAATGTGATAACTCTTAATCCTTTGATTTATTTGAATACTGGGACAACTATTATTGAAGATTAAATCTGAGGGAGATATAAGTATTAAAAGTAGAGGCTTTGGAAAAAAAAATCAAACCTAAGTATCTGTCTATATTACCATGGTAACTCAATTTGAAGTCTAAACGTGTCATCTGGGGGCCAGTGCTGTGGTGTAGCAGATAAAGCTACACTGTATGGACTAAAGTACCTTTTAAGACTTAAAGGGGCTGGCCAGTGCCGCGGCTCACTAGGCTAATCCTTCGCCTTGCGGCGCCGGCACACCAGGTTCTAGTCCTGGTCGGGGCGCCGGATTCTGTCCCGGTTGCCCCTCTTCCAGGCCAGCTCTCTGCTGTGGCCAGGGAGTACAGTGGAGGATGGCCCAAGTGCTTGGGCCCTGCACCCCATGGGAGACCAGGAGAAGCACCTGGCTCCTGCCATCGGATCAGTGCGGTGTGCCGGCCGCAGCGCGCTGGCCGCGGTGGCCATTGGAGGCTGAACCAACGGCAAAAGGAAGACCTTTCTCTCTGTCTCTCTCTCTCACTGTCCACTCTGCCTGTCAAAAAAATAAAAATAAATAAATAAATAAATAAAAAGACTTAAAGGGGCTGGCACTGTGGCTTAGCAGGTAAAGCCACCACCTGCAATGCCGGCATCCCATATGGGCTCTGGTTCGAGTCCCAGCTGCACCACTTCCAATCCAACTCTCTGCTATGGCCAGGGAAAGTAGTAGAAGATGACCCAAGCCCTTGGGCCCCTGCATCCACGTGGGAGACCCAGAAGCTCCTGGCTCCTAGCTTTGGATCGGCGTAGCTCTGGCCGTAATATTTCCAGTTGTCCTATATCCTTGCACAGACTTAGACATTCTAATAAATGGATCTTGGTATCAAAGATGACTTAATTGGGATTTCCTTAATGAGTAAAGATATTAAGCATCTTCTTCCTGTGCTTAATTGCCATTGATATTTCTTCTTTGGTGAAGTACTTGTTTAAACCTTTTGTCCATTCTTTCAAAAACTGGATTGATTTCTTATTTGAACTTAGAAAAATCTTTATATTGTTTATTAGATATATTACTTATAAACATTGTCATCTAATTCATGGTTTATCTCAATTCACTTAAGAGTGGTTTTCCAAAGAGTAGAAATTACTAATTTTAGTGAGAGAAAATTTGATGGACAATAACATGTTTTTGGTGTCATATCTAAGAAATGTCTGTTTAGTTTACCAGACTGAAATGATTTCCCTTGATGTTTTCCTTTAAAAGTCTTTTTGTTTAAAAAAAAAAAAAGATTTTTACTTATTTATTTGAGAGGTAGAGTTATAGGCAGTGAGAGGGAGAGACAGAGAGAAAGATCTTCTGTCCACTGGTTCACTCCCCAAACGGCCACAACATCTGGAGCTGCACTGATCCGAAGCCAGAAGCCAGGTGTTTCTTCCCAGTCTCTCATGCAGGTGCAGGGGCCCAAGCACTTGGGCCATCTTCTACTGCTTTCGAAGGCCACTGCACAGAGCTGGATTGAAAGAGGAGCAGCCAGGACTAGAACTGGTGCCCATATGGGATGCTGGCACCACAGGTGGAGGATTAACTTACTGTGCCACTGCGCCAGCCCTAGAAGTCTTTTAGAATACATATTTAAGACTATGATTCATTTTGATAACATTTTAATAAACAGTACAAAGTTCAATTTTATAGCAGAAGGATAACAAAGACTCTTTTTCTACAATAAATTTACTTCGCCTTTTTGTTCCCCAAAGATTTATTATATTTATTTAAAAGGTAGAGTGATGGAGACAGAAAGAGAAAGAGATCTTCTATTTGCTAGATCATTCTCCAAATGGCTGGAATGGCCAGGATTAGTTTGTGCCAGGTCTCCCATATGAATAGCAAGGGCCCAAGAACTTGAGCCAACTCCTGCTCCTTTCACAGGTGCATTTCCAGGGAGTTGGATCAGAAGCAGATCAGCTGGAACTCAAACCAGCATTCCGATATGGGATGCTAGCATCACAAGTGCTGGCTTAACTGCCTGTGCCACAATAGGAAGCCCTACTTCACCTTTTTCAGCAATCAAAAGTGAGTCTGTCTCTAAACTCTCTTTTCAGTTCTTTTGACTTACTTATCTATACACAAATATGACACTGTATGGACTAAAGTACCTTTTAAGACTTGAAGGGGCTGGCACTGTGGCTTAGCAGGTAAAACTGCCACCTGCAATGCCAGCATTCCATGTGGGCACCAGTTTGAGTCCTGGCTGCTCCACTTCCAATCCAGTTCTATGCTATGGCCTGGGAAAGCAGTAGAAGATGGCTCACGTCCTTGGGCCCCTGCACCCATGTGCAAGACCCGGAAGAAGCTCCTGCCTCCTGGCTTCTTAACGGCACAGCTCCGGCTGTTGCAGCCATCTGGGGAGTGAACCATCGGATGGAAGACCTCTCTCTCTCTGCCTCTCCTTCTCTCTCTGTGTAACTCTAACTTTCAAATAAATAAGTAAATCCTAAAAAAAAAAAAAAAAGACTTGAAGTTAGGTACTTTAAGTCCTCCAACTCCATTCTTCCTTATTCAAGTTCTTTTGGCTATAACATTTTCTTCCAATTCTATATGAATTTTGGGATAAATACATAACTTTCTACAAAATGCCTAGTGCAGTTCTGGTGCCATGGCATGCTGGGTTAAGCCACCGCCTGCAAAGCAGGCATCCCATATGGGCATCAGTTGTCTCCACTGCTCCACTTCTGATCCAGCTCCCTGCTAATGTGCCTAGGAAAGCAGCAAAGATGGCCCTTGCACCCACATGGCAGACCTACATGAAGCTCCTGGATCCTGGATTCAACTTGGCCTAGCCCTGGTTATTGCCACCATTTGGGGAGTGAACCAGTGGATGGAAGATTTTTCTCTTTCTCTCTCTCTTTTTCTCTCAATCTCTCTCTCTCTGTAACTCTGCCTTTCAAATAAATAAATAAAAAAAATGCTTAAAAAAAAATCCCAGTACATGACTGGCATTGTGGCATAGCAGGTTAGGCTGCCGTCTGTGATGCTGGCATCCCATTCTGGGGCCGGTTCAAGTCCTGGCTGCTCCACTTCCAATCCAACTCCCTGCTGATGTGCCTGGAAAAGCAGTGGAGGATGGCCCAAGTACTTGGGCCCCAGCACCCATGTGGGAGACTTGGATGGAATTCTAGGCTCCTGGCTTCAGCCTGGCCGAGCACTCTTTCGTTGCTGCCATTTGGGGCGTGAATGGAAGATCTCCGACTCTCTCTCTCTCTCTCGTAACACTGCCTTTAAATAAATCAATATTTAAAAAAAATCCCAGTGAGATTAGGAGTACATTAAAAATGGCAACCATAATCAACACATTGATGATATTAATTTTTCATAAATGATAATGTCATTAGGGAATGAAGACAGTGTTATTTTTTCATTTCTTATTTCATTAATTTATTTTTTTTGACAGGCAGAGTTAGTGAGAGAGACAGAGAGAAAGGTCTTCCTTCCGTTGGTTCACCCCTCAAATGGCCACCACGGCCATTGTGCTGGGACCATCTGAAGCCAGGAGCCAGGTACTTCCTCCTGGTCTCCCATGCAGGTGCAGGGCCCAAGCACTTGGGCCATCTTCCACTGCACTTCTGGGCCACAGCAGAGAGCTGGACTGGAAGAGGGGAAACCGGGACTAGAATCCGGTGCCCCATCTGGGACTAGAACCTGGGGTACTGGCGCTGCAGGCAGAGGATTAGCCTAGTGAGCTGCGGCGCCGGCCTGTTTTTTCATTTCTAAAATGTGCCTTTTATTGCATTTACTTGATTTACTCCACTAGGTAGAATCTTAAGTACAAAGTTGAGAAGAAGCAGTGAGAGTATATATTCTTGTTTTCTTCTTCATCTTTTACCACTAAATATGATGTTAGCAATAGGTTTTCTATAGATACCTTTTTTATTTTTATTTTTTTTTATTTTTTGACAGGCAGAGTGGACAGCGAGAGAGAGAGACAGAGAGAAAGGTCTTCCTTTTGCTGTTGGTTCACCCTCCAATGGCTGCCATGGCCGGCACGCTGTGGCCGGCGCATCGTGCTGATCTGAAGCTAGGAGCCAGGTGCTTCTCCTGGTCTGTAGATACCTTTTATCAGCTGAAGAAAGCCTCCTCCATTCCCACTTTCTTTAAAATTTTTATAGGGAATTGGGCATTGGACTGTGTCAAATGTTTTTTCTTCATCTTTTCAGATGACTGATTTCTCTTTTATGTATCTCACTAAAATTACACTGATTGATTTTTGGATATTAAGTCAGCCTTTCATTCCCAAGATAAACCCCATTTGGTCATGAAGTATTATTTGTCTTACATATTATTTGATTTGCTAAAATGTTATGTAGAATTTCTGCATCTATATTTATAAGGGAAATTAGCCTGTGATCTTTCTTGCTTATAATGTCTTTGTTCTTATATCAGAATTATGCTGATTTCACAGAATTGGGAAGTATTTCTATTTCTTCAAATTCTAGATGTTGTGGAGAACTGTTATTTCCTTTCTTTTTTTTCTTTCATTTATTCTTCTATTTTTTTTTCTTTTCTTTTTTTTTTTTTTTTTGACAGGCAGAGTGGACAGTGAGAGAGAGAGACAGAGAGAACCTCTTTCTTAAATGTTTAGAATTTACAAGTGAAACACCTGAGAGTTGAAGTATTATTTGTGAGAAAGTTTTTAACTACAAATTTAATTTCTTTAGTAAACTTCTTCAAATATTCTGTCTTCAGTGAGTTTTGGTGACTGTCTTTTTTCAAATAGTGTTGTTCATAACATGTCTTCACAAACCTTTGAATTTAAGTAAAATATGTAGCGAGGTAACCTTGTTAACTCTTAATTTTGATACTTTGTTTTCTCCCTATCCATCAGGCTATAAGTCTTTCAATATTACTGATATTCTCAAAGGACTAATTTTTGTTTCACTGACTTTTCTCTATTGTTTTCTGTTGTTTGTATCATTTATGTATGTCCTCATCTTTATTATTTTCTTTCTTACACTTACTTCAGGTCTCACTTGGTTTTCTTTCTTAGGTAAAGCCTATCTTATTGATTTGATATCCTTCCTTGTAACTAACACAGACATATTAGTACTATAATTTTCCTTCTAACTACTGTTTTAGTTTTATCTCAAAGTTTGATATGTTTCACTTTCTTCTTGATTTAGTTCAAAATACTTCTTAGTTTCATTTTTGATTTGTTATTTAACTCATGAGTTTCCAACTAGTAGGGGATTTTCCATATCTTTGTTACTGACATATTTTATATAACTTAAAAGCTCTTAAATATTAAGTTGTATTTTATGGCCATGGTATAGTTTAGCTTAGTGACATACATATTTAAAAGTAATATAATTGGGGTTGGTGTTTAGTGTAGGGACTAAGCACCAGTTGGGATGCCCACATAATAGTGCTTGGTTTTCAATATCATTTGTACACCCAACTGACGCTTCCTGTTAACATGCACCTTGGGATGCAGCAGGTAATAGTTCATGTACATGGTTGCCTGCTATCTGTGAGGGAGACCTAGACTGAGTTCTCAGCTTCTTACTTTGCCCTGACCCAACCCTAGCCATTTCAGGCATTTGGGGAATAAATGAGCAGATGCAAGCTCTCTGTGTCAATCTGTCTCTCAGATATATAAATAATATTTTTAAAAATATGTATGTATTGGGGCCGGTGCTGTGGTACAGTGGGTTAACGCCCTGGCCTGAAGCACCAGCATCCCATATGGGCGCCAATTCGAGACCCAGCTGCTCCACTTCCTGTCCAGCTCTCTGCTATGGCCTGGGAAAGCAGTAGAAGATGGCCCAAGTCCTTGGGCCCCTGCACCCACGTGGGAGACCCGGAAGAAGCTCCTGGCTCCTGGCTTCGGATCAGTGCAGCTCCAGCCGTTGCGGCCATCTGGGGAGTGAACCATCAGATGGAAGACATTTCCCTCTCTCTTTGTGTAACTCTGACTTTCAAATACATAAATAAATCTTTAAAATAAATGTATGTATTGTGGTAGGGTGGTTTGATATAGCTAGGTTTAAATTTATCAAGTTGTTGTTTGTTTTCAATGTGTTCCATTTATTCTTTCCCCTCTTATTCTTCATCCTTTCAACTCATCTTCAAAACTGTTCTTTATTCAAAACATCTTCAAAACTATTCTTTATTCATTCTTTAATCATTTACTAAACTTGATTTACCTAAGCTATAATCATAGTATAATACATAGTATTATATAGTATAATACATAGTATACATAGTATACATAGTATAATACTGTAGTATCATATTTGTTACTAAACATTACTAATGTTTTTATGTAGTATATGTTCAGTAAAGCTACTATTTAGTAAAAAAATAAAGAGAAATATTTATTACATTTAATTCTTGCCAAATACATTACAGTAATTAAGTGAGTAATGGAACTGATAGCTCCCTTAGAGAGTATGTATTTTTGCTAAAAGATCAGTGGGAAATTTTATGAACCAAGAGACTAATCTTAATTTTAAAATGATGGCCTGACTTCCACATAACAAACTCCCTAGCATTTAAGTTTCTAAAGTACAAGATTTAGGGGCTGGCATTGTGGCACAGTGGGTAAAGCCACTGCCTGCAACACTGACGCCAGCATTCCACATGGGTGCTAGTTTGTGTCCCAGCTGCTCCACCTCTGGTCCAGCTCCTTGCTAATGGCCTAGAAGAAGCAATGGGATATGGCCATGTGTTTTGGTCCCTGCCAACCACTTGGGAGACTCAGATGAAGCTCTTGGCTCCTGGTTTTGGCCTAGCCCAGAGCTGGGCACTGCAGCAATCTGGGGACTGAACCACCAGATCAAAGATCTCTCTCTATCTCTCCCTCTCTCTAACACTTTCAAGATAAAGAAATAAATCTTCAAAAAAATATATAAAGTATAACATTCAAATTGATCATTAGCACAAAGAAGAGATATTCCAGATCTGAGAGATAATACTAAAACCATTCCTTTGGTTACAAGACTTTATCAGAAAAATAACAACGAAGTTTTAAAACTGGGCCCTCTTCACAGTCACAGCTCATATTATTCATTCAAAATTCTTCCTTAATTATTGTGTTTTCTACTTACCTAACATTTTAATTATTATAGTGTTATTGAGGAGGTTAAACAGGATTTATAAGTATACATTAACAAGTAAGTGCTTTATAGTGATAAAGTAGCATACTTTAGGAATACATGCAAATATGAGTGCATTACATAGTAATGGGGAGTTGTAGGAAGTTATATGGAAAGAATGAAAAGTCTTTATGTAGAAAGCTACGAGGAAAGATAAAAAGCCTTGTAAGCCAACAGAAAACTAGATCGAGTAGGCAAGACACCAGGTAACACTAGCCTTATAGAATTTTACCACATGTATAATTTTAAAAAAATTGTAAAGTAGATAAAAGGGAAATTAGGTAAATTAAAAAGTAAATAAATTACTGTTTTTTAAAAAGTAACTTTACCTGATCATCATTTTCATCTGAAAAGGTAATTGATGTAAGCTTGTAATTATTCTTCAATAAAAATTCATTGACTAAGAAGTTTAGAGCTCTCTTTTCAAGAGGTTTGATTGGCTCCTAGAAGCAAAATACAGACATAAGGAGAACCGTAAGTTTTCCTCCTTCTACATTTGTGCTACCAGTCAAAAACATTTTTAGATCTGTTATTTACCTACCTGAATTTCAGGACTTGATTTATAATTTTTTCGTTCCTGTAAAGGAACTTCATGTTCTGGTGGAAAAAAATATAAATAATACTTTACTATTTTATACTTTAACATATCTTAGCTACTTCTACATTGTCAAAGTAGAAAAAGTCTCAAAAAAGTTTTATGTACACCACCTGCAGCCTTTGTCAGGTTGGCTCGGAGGGCCTGAATGGTCTCCTTGGCTTTCCGTAGTTCAAACTCCAGGACTGGACAGGGATTTGGAATAAACACACACAGGCATCCAACCAAGAAAAGGGAAACAAAAATAAAAAAATAAAAAGCAAGGATGGGTATGAAAAAAAAATACAATTTGTATTGAAAACAGAAAGCATGCAATCTTTATGAAATTTGTGAACGCATGCAGCAGAGTTGATTTGCAAGCAAACTGGTGAATGTTTTCCATAGTTCTAATAGAATTCAGGGGACTATAATCAAACGTTCTAGCTGTCTGACAAAGGATAGTTCTACTTAAAAATAAATTCTATGGCATACTCTCATTTAGGCAAATAAAAATATTAGTAATCTGGATATTTCTGCTTCATACATTCTAGGCAAGAAAATATAATGAGATGTTTTCAGCTGACATAATTTTAGGAGAATCAATAAGAATTAGATGAAGTTCAAACAAGTATCCCTAAAACCTTGGGATTTTTTAAAAAGTTATATTTCAATGCATTGTTCAGAATATTAGAATCAGTATAGAAAATAGTGAATAGATCTTTGTTAAGATGTTAAGAAGGGAAATGGCTTAAGTATTTAACAAATGTTGGGATGCCTGTTAATTTTTCTTTAAACAAGCATATATTTTCTAAAAGCAAGCACAGATGTTGTTAAATAACAAAAAAAGGTTGCAAAGCTTTTTAGTTTTCATTTAAAGTCAAAGAGTAGAAATGGTTTCTTCTCATTTCTAAATAAAATAATTCTGAAGCAAATGATTATATGCATTTCTAAAAGTATAGTTATCTAAGGATATTAACTAAAATTATGTAAATTTTAAAAGCTTCAGGCCTGTGGCTTCAGTACCTCATATTGGTGCTGGTTCTTGTTCTGGCTACTCCAGAATGCTGATCCACCTCTCTGCTAATGTATCTGGAAAGGCAATGGAGGGTGGCCCAGGTACTTGGGCCCCTGTACCCACGTGGGAGACCTGGAGGAACCTCCTGGCTCCTAGCTTTGGTCTGGCCCAGCCCCTGTGGTTGCAGCCACTTGGGGAGTGAACCATCGGATAGAAGATTTCTTTCTGTCTCTCTCTCTCTCTCTCTCTCTCTGTAACTTTCAAATAGATGAATAAATCTTTAAAAATTTTTTTTTCAAGTTTCTCATAACTCTTCAAATAGGATTGATCTTGTTAACAATTATTAACAAAGCTCAAAGATTTCTCATAGTCTCATATTCTGGTTATAAGATAAACATGTATACTGAGGAACTATTTTAATACACTCATAAAACATTTCATCATGAGAAAGATATAACTACATGTATCTTATCTGGGAAATTTTCTTAAAATTTACATTGTGCCAAACAAAAAGCAAGCTTAGAGTTGGTTAAAAAAGACATCTTTATTAAATGAAGCTCTGGGAAGCTTAAATGATCCTTGCCACAAACTAATATTAAAAATTATAGTAGTGAAATAGTTCTGCATAAAAACCAGGAAATTTAAGCTTTTACCTTAAAGATGTATTTTTTTTTCTGATTGATTATAAGTTGAAAAATGAAGATGTCAAATGAGATGTTATCAGAGACAACAAAGATATAAAAATATGGAAAAATTAGGATTCACGCAGTTTGCATATTTTCAATAAAAACTTAAGATGTCATTGAATACAACTAGTACATGAAGGCCAATTATTTTGATGCACAGAATTTAACTGCAGCAATACAGAAGCACAAATAAAAATCAGATGACATTGTATGCTAAAATATGCTTTTTGGTAGTCAGCAATGCTGATCTGCAAACATTTCTGTGCAACAAAGTTATAAAATTTTCCCTAAAACTTACACTTCTGGAAATTCAGAGTTTATATTAAAGACTATACACATTCAGTGTGTAAGGCAAGTACGGAAAAGGTTTAAATAGCATGTTGGTTTATTTTTTCTTTTTTAAATTTCAGAACTTGAAGTAGTTGATTTTGATCTGAAAATATCTAACTGTACCTTAAATAAAATTAGTATACAATTTATGCTTTCAAATGACTTGAAATTTACTGACATATTACAGAACAATTGCAGATCAGAAATGCCCTATACCACAATGATAGAAATATGAAAAAATGAAAGGGAAAACTGGTTAAAACACAAACCAGGAAAAACTCAAAATTCAATTGGTGAAGGTTCAGATGACAAAGAGCAAAACACTGAAAGATTAAGGCACAGAAAGCCAGAAAAACCCATGTCAGACGGCAAGAATTCATATTTTTATGCACATATACATATATATTGCCAAATTTTATTAAGACATTACCAGCACTTGGAAAAGATAGTGCCTATCAAAATGAATTCACTCTGCTGCATGTTTCTTGATATACAACAAAGATTTTAAAAGACAAAGGCATTTCTTTGATGCTCTATTAAGGCACAGTATGATCAAGTAACTTCAGTTATGTGAGAAAGAGTTTTACAAGAAAGGTCCTTTAATAGCAGTGTTGTATTTAAGCACATAGGAATTTGCGTTAATTAAAACATTGCATTAAAGCCCCAAATTAATTACCCTGTAAAATGATACACTGAACTAAATAACTTCAAAGTTTTTTCAAATATTATGATTCTTCTAAAAAATATTTGATGACATTATGTGTATTAAAAAAAATGCTGCAGGAACCAACAACCAACAATCAACCTATTCATTCTACTTGCCCAACTCCACTGAATGCAATTTTACTAGAACTAATGTAATAATTCCGAAGATGTAGGTGTATATCAATATTGCCAATTAACCAAAATAATCAATGATTAAATCAGTACAAGTAACTCCAGATTAGCTGAATTATTTCCCCACTATATCACAAGCCCCAACTGTTGGCGGCCACCTAGCCAACCCAAAAATTTTTAACTTGATCCTATCTAAATGAATATAATCATTTTACTTTCAAATCTGGTCCTCTTTCTGCAATTTCTCTCCACAAATGGCATAACACCCAGATGGACAAATAGGAATGCTGGAAATTACTCTTCATTTATCTCTTGCCCTCACCTTCACATAAATTCAATGTCCAAGTCATACTTATTCCAATCTTTTAGTAACTCCCTAAATAATCAGTTATCTCAGCTGTCTCTGTAATTGTCATAGTTTACACCTTTCTGAGTTCTCACATAAGTAACTATAAAAACCTACAACCATTTTTAAAGGCTCTGAAAAATCCAGCAGAAAACTGATTTTCTAAACTTATCTAGCTGTACAATTCTCTTTTCTCTCAAAATTTTTTTTCCTGCTAAACTAATATTGTTGAGAAATATACTTTAGGAAACGGTAATCTAAATGAAAAAAAAAACACTAAAATCTAAAAAAGCTTAATGGCTATTTAAATTATTTCTATTTGTAACTTAACTACCCATCACAATGCTGCAATTTTTTCCCTTTGAGACTAATTTCATTTCATGGTAATAAGTGCAGGAAAACATTTTCAAAATGTTACCTGTCTTCCTTAAAACCTTGTTGGAACATATATCCTATTTTAAATTCTACAAAGACATAAAATGAAATTTAGATAAGGTTCAAAACAAGGAACTCAAAAGGCATGGTTCATAGGAAGTAGATATTGTGTCTGGGAAGAAATATATAATAAGATATTTAATCTGGAGAAAGGGCTGGATATGGATGTTACCAGGTCACTATCTATCTATAGAGTGAGAGGGTACCAATGCTGCTTGTTATCCAGGGGACAGAAGCAGAAGTCTGAAAGCCATTTTAGAATGTCTGCTAGATTATGGTAGGTTATTAAAGGCTTCATACTGTCTTAACTATTGATCGTTGTTCCTAGAACAACATAATACCTAGAATACAGAGTAAGCGTTCAACAAATATTTGCTTAGTGAATGGACATTCCAATACTTCATGCCATGTGATAAATCTGAAATATTAACTGATCTTTCTAGCATTAAAGAGTGTCTTTCCTTACAATTTGGAAAGCATAGTTTTTGTAGTTCTCTATATCCCAGCAGAGTCAAACTGTAAATTAGAGAAGTAATAGAGTAACAGAGATAAAGGATTCAAGAGTTTTGATGCTAAATGATAGATCTTGTGCACTGGAAATAAGAATATAGGTGGTTCTAAAATTATTAATAGGTTCTTGTCACTATTTCCAAAGCACTGAACATGTATTTGTTTATAGACACATTTCAAAACAGATTCCTTGAGGGCAGAAATGTTATGTACTTCATATTACTTACCTACTACTTAATACAATGCCTAACACACACAAAGCAGATACTTAAAATGCCTAAAATTAATTAACTAATGGCAATTTCAACATTTAGAATATGGATGCCTCTTGTTACCTTTATCTTTTAAGCCTTTTAACGAAAGAGAAAAAAATCAGTCAAAGCTCATTAATCTGCTACTACTTAGACTGCTTTTATATGAAAGTGTATAATTCATAAGGAAAATAGGGAAATAGAAAATGTCTAAAATATAAAGCTTTTAGAATTTTACTTCTTTGAAAACAGCTTATGTTGAAATAGGCTGTACAAGAAAGACACGATTCTGCAATCCACATGAATGCACAGATAGATAAGAGCTACAGCCTCATACTAAGAAGCAGCATTGTGGACTCTGGAATAAAAACCCTATGTGTTGACACTACTGGGTAAATTTCACAACCTGGTAAGCCTCAACTTTCTAGTTTACAAAACAAGGATCTTATGACTTCTTACAATAACATGGAGTATTATTAATAAGATTAAAAAAGTTTTATGCCAAGCACCTAACATAGATTCTAGGGCAGAGAACATGTTGAAGAAATAATTGTTTATCTAGAGATTCCTTCCTCTTTGAAGGATAATCCATAAAGACTTGAGAAAATAACTAGATTTTGAAATCCAGGAGAGCAGGGGCAAACACAGTCTCCATCTCATAAACAACAGCTGATTAAAGGTTGTAGAAATCCTACATTTGCCTGTTGGGACAATGGACTCATGATCTTTGCTATCCACAGACTTCTATCTAACAGCGGCACAGGAAAATGGCAAAAGAGATTTTTGTTCTTTCTTAGATGCCCCTTCATTCTTGGTGAGGTTTATATGTGACCCAATGACAGATGACACAAAAAGTTAAGTTTTTTGGATTATTAGTCTTTGTTAAGCTTTTAAGTTACTACCAATGGTTAGCAAAAGGAGTTAAAATCTGTTTGGAAATGGGGATTATGAATAAGTGAAATCTTTTTGTGATGTTTCATCTACATACTCACACATGTGATTCAACAACACTATAATACAAAAGCACTAAGAGACTGAAAGCTATTCTCCTGGGGAACCGATATTCTTCCTTTTTCCCAATGAATATGAAAGAAACCATGTATTCATAAATGAGCAAATAATACTAATTAAAAGTTACTTTCTCTCTCCAAAGGTAGAGACATAGCAAATTCTTGAATTATATATATTTATATGCTTTTTACATATTAAGTATATAAAACTATTAAAATGTAAAGTTAAAACTATCACATATTTAATATATTTCACTTTTAGTTGTTCAAGCCTGTGGGCTATCCAGACTTACTGCTCTTTATTCACTGACTATCACAAACTGGATCAGAAGGAGAATATAAACATTTTCACTTTGAGTCCTAATAAAAAGTCAGAAATAAAAACGTCATGTAAACAGTTAAATCTGGTCAGAAAAATTTCTAATTTCTTCTTTTCTACTAATATTGCCAAGAATAATTACAGACTGTTCCAAATAATTAAATTATTAATTTAAGCTATCAAGAATTTGCTTTTACATCAATATTTTTCCCTAATTGAGAGTACAAAATATCTAAATAATGAGAATAATGATGAACCTCTTAAATTTGACTCAATTAAGTTTTGAAAAGGAAATTAAAGGAAAGAACATAATTATGTGGCTAATTTCTAGATAGGCATTACTTTCTAAATGTAATAATTAGTACAATAAAATCATACAAAACAATATATTTATTTAGTCCCTAAATAAATACTATATATTTAATATATAACATATCTAATGATATGTATCATTGTTACTTTTTTTTTTTTTTTTAACAGGCAGAGTGGACAGTGAGAGAGAGACAGAGACAGAGAGAAAGGTCTTCCTTTACTGTTGGTTCACCCTCCAATGGCCACTGCGGCCGGTGCACCACGCTGATCCAAAGCCAGGAGCCAGGTGCTTGTCCTGGTCTCCCATGCGGGTGCAGGGCCCAAGCACCTGGGCCATTCTCCACTGCACTCCTGGGCCACAGCAGAGAGCTGGCCTGGAAGAGGGGCAACCTGGCGCCGCAGGCAGAGGATTAGCCTATTGAGCCGCGGTGCCAGCCGTCATTGTTACTTAATAAGTGGTATAATTGGTAGGATAAATAAGTTCTAAAATTACTCAAATAATTTCCATTTGATTTGCTAATTTTTAGATGTTAGTGATGTGACTTGCTGTTTTGATACAATTGTCAATAAATGATGCTTATGAGTAACCATGATTTGAAACCAGTCAAATGAAACTCTTCCAGTAACTTCCCCATTAAATTGATAATGCTACTGTTTGCACTGCTAAATCCTCACTCAGCTTTTGTTGAACTAAAAACAATTACAAATTTCCTCTACTCATAACACTGAAAATTTTAAATATTCAATCTCTATTATCAAGCAAGAAATGAATGTCATATTGGAATGTCATTTTTAATTACATCAAAACTTGGTCCTTCATGCCAAGAAGCAGCATATGGTATACTCAACTGTAGGCTTTGTTGCTAAGTTATCTGGATTGAATCCTAGCTCTGCTACTGATGCCTTACATAATGTCTCTGCATGTCTTCATTTCTTAAGGAGGGAAGTATGATGGATTTTACCACCGAATGAATCAATACACATTTAGAGTATTAAGAATGGAGCAGGTGCTAATAAAAACTAGCAATTGTTTTTATTCATAATGACCATAGCAAGTAAGTATTTGGTAGGCTTTAGAAAACTTGCTCTAGTAAATGGAAGAATAGAGTTGGTCAAAATAGAAATCCACATATGGGTATGACCCCATGATGCCCTCTCAAGTTCAATGTCCCATATGGCATCCCTCTTGTTCTAATATCCACCATTCTAAGGAGCTCAACATAAACTAATTGATGTCTGACTGCCTTTCTTATCTCTCTCAGAGCCAAGTCTATGAAAACTATAACTGCAATGCACTCAAGAATGACTTCAATTGCAGGTAGCCATGCTTCTGAGGTAACAGAAAGGTACTAGATATTTACACCTAAGGAGCCAGGGCTGTTACACTGGTGAATGTGAGGGTAGACCTCCAGCAGGTTCCAGGTGGGCTCTTTTAGTATAGATAGAACACAGGGTACAAATTGGTGCTCTCAAGTACCTACAGTCCAATAGTGATGGGGGTGGGGAATAATGTACCAAGTATTATCTTCTATTTTCTGGGTTATAGGAAGTTTCTGGAAACATACTTTGATGGCTGGAGAGCTCCCAGGGAACACAGGCAAAGTTTTCTTCAGTAACCAGAATAGAACAATTTCAACCAATTTTTAACAATCATTAGAGCTGTACTGATAAACATACCTGAATATCAGCCCTGGTTTGGAGGATTAAGGAATAAGGCTAAGCTTAACTTTGTACTAACAAAATGACTAACTTAAGCTTATATTACAACTGGTTGCTTGTAAATGGCTATTAATAAGCAGAACTCAGCAAACTGTAAGTGAATACAAGCAGAACCTGAAATTCACAACACCACTGGAAGAGGAAGTTGGGGTATCCCCAACATAATAAATTAGTAATTAGTAACAATACATTAGTAATATAATTTTGTATCTAATGGTAAGTTACATTAATATACTAAAAATTATAGAAAGAAGAGAATCCCTCAAGCCATTTCATTATTACTGGAAAGTAAAACATTTAAATCTATATCCATAATCTTACTCACCTGCCACTCTCTCATCTGTTTCCCTGTTACCATCATCTGAGTATCTTGCAAAGTCTAAAGAATCAAGAGTACTGATGCTCCCAGCTCGATCTGAAATTAAAAAAAAAATTAAAGAAATAGATCTTTATTTAACTGCCAAAATAACAGATGGGAATGAAAATACCTATCAATATTTCCAGTTAATAAAAGCATGAATTCTAGTGAAACCAAAAACTAAAGTAGAAATGATCAAACCAATTAAATTATTTTAAAATAATAACAAGAAAAAAGATTTAGAAGAAAATTAACAGAGTCTCTGTGGCACAATAATAAAAGGTCTAATAGATGCAGAATTGAAGTCAGCAACAGATAAGGTAAGAAGTAGATCGGTTACAAAATCAAGAAGGACAGAGAACACTAAAGACAATAAATAAAGTGAACAGAAACTTAGGTGTATCATATTCAAATTCCTAAAAACCAAAAAACAAAATATTAAACACAGATAGGTAAAAATACCTTTATATAAGAAGCAATGATTTGAGTGACTGCTGATTTCTTCTAAAAACATGAAACCAAAAACATCCAAAATGGGAAGGTAGAAGTATAACTATTTCTATTCAAAGGTGACAGGCTTTTGTATATAAGACACTAACCCAAAAATGGATCAAAGACCTAAATATACAACCTGATACCATCAAATTATTAGAGAACATTGGGGAAACCCTGCAAGACATTGGCATAGGCAATGGAAAAGGCCTCAGAAGCACAGGCAATCAAAGCCAAAATTGACAAATGGGATTACATTAAGCTGAGAAGCTTCTGCACTACAAAAGAAACACTCAATAAAGAGAAAAGGCAACCAACAGAATGGGAGAAATTATTTGCAAACTATCCAACTGATAAAGGATTAATATCCAGAATCTATAAGAGCTCAAGAAACTTGACAACAAAACAAACAATCCAGTTAAGAAATGATCAAAGGACTGAAATAGGTATTTTTCAAAAGTAATTCAAATGGCCAACAGACACAGGAAAAAATGCTCAGGATCACTAGGCATCAGGGAAATGCAAACCAAAACCACAATAAGGGTTCACCTCACCCCAATTAGAATGGCTCTCATACAGAAATCCACAAACAAATGCTGGTGAGGACGTGGAGAAAAAGGTACCCTAATCCACCGATGGTGGGAAACTAAACTGATACAGTCACTGTGAAAGACAGTATGAAATCTTAATTCTAGTGAAATCTAGACCCATCAAATGAACCAGCCATCCCACTCCTGGGAATTTGCCCAAAGGAAATGAAATCAGTATATGAAGGAGTGATCTGTACCCCCATGTTTATTGCAGTTCAATTCACAGTAGCTAAGATATGGAATCAACCCAGATGTGCACCAATTGAAGGCTGGATAAAGAAATTATGGTATATTCTATGGAATACTACACAACAGTAAAACAAAAAAAAAAATGAAATCCTGTCATTTGCAAAAATATGGATGCAACTGGAAGCCATTATACTTCATGAAATAAGCCAGTCCCCAAAAGGCAAATACCATATATTCACCTTGATCTCTGGTAACTAATAGAGCATCTGAAAGATAATCTATAGAAGTGATATTCACACTTTGAGATGTGATAACTTTGAACAGCTCTTGTCTTGACTGTTGAGGAACAGTTTTTCTTTTTTTCATTCTTCATACTGTTTGTTGAAACTTTACTTAGTGTAGGGTTAATCGTATGAGTATAAAGTTAACTGAAAACAGATCTTTGTATAAAGTATGATTGGAATAGGAAAGGGAGGAGAATGAAGGGAGGGGGTATGGGTGCAAGGGAGCACAGCGTGAGAAGAATTGCTGTTTCTAAATTTGTATATATGAAAAGCATAAAATTTGTATACCTTAAATTAAAGTTTTCTAGGTTAAAAAGTGATTCATGCCTTAACCAAATAAATAAATAAATAAACTAAAAAATCTACTAAAAATAATTAGGCTCAATAAAAGAGCATTTCAGAGCTGCAGAAAATGATCAATACACAAAAAACTATCAGCTTTTGATACACTATCAATGATCATTCCAAAAGGAAAATTAAGAAAAGTTTCATTTTCAATAACGTCAGAAGAAAATACTTAAGAATATAATTAATGAAAATGGTTAAAACTTATATAATAAAAACTGGTAAGACACTGTTGAAAGAAATTAAAGATGATCTAAATAAATGTTAAGGCATCCCGAGCTCAAGGATTAGAAGAGCTATAACAGGATGACAATATTCTACAATCAACCTTTAGAGTCAATGCAATCTCTATCAAAAATTCTAGTTGATTTTTTTTCTTTTTTGTGCAGAAATTTAGAACTTGATTCTAAAACTGATATGGAAACCAAAAAGTCCAATAGTCAAAATAATCTTCAAAAACAATAGGATGGAAGACCATACTTCTTGATTTTAAAGTTAATGCAAAGCCGCAGGAATCAAGATAGGACGAAATTGGCATATATATATATATATGTGTGTGTGTGTGTGTGTGTGTGTAATAGAATTGAGAATCCAGATATTAGACCTTACATTTGTTTGTTTTTTACCAAAGGTATGAGAATACCTCAATGTAGAAAATAAGTTTTTTCAAGAGAAGTGGAAATGTATGTTCACACACACACACAAAAAAATGTTTATGAATATTCATTAGCAGTTTTATTCATAATGGTGACAAAGTACAAACAAACCAAATGTTCATCAATAGATGAATCAATAAAATGTGTAATAGCTATACTATGAATTATGATTCTGCCATAAAAAGGGAGTTTAGTATACATGCATGGCATAACACAGGTGAACCTAGAAAACATGCTAATTTAAAGAAGCCAGACACAAAGTCATATGTTTGTACATAGTGACCTTTCACACGAAATGTACAGAATAGATGAATCCACAGGGATAGAAAGTAGATTACTGTTTTCCTGGAGCTGGGGGTTGGGGATGAATGTGGTATCTGTTAGTGGGTAAGAGATTCGCTTTGGGGGTTATGAATACGTTCTTCAGTAGATTTGGTGATGGACACATAATTCTGTAAGTATACTGAAAAACACTGAGTTGTGCACTCTAAATGGGTGAATTTTAAGGTAGTTAAAATTTATCTCAAGAAAGCTATCATTAAAAATCATGGAACAATATCTTTAGAGTGCAATGAGAAAAAAAAAAACAACAACCCTGCATTCCAAATTCAATATCCAGGAAAAAATATCCTTTCAAAATGACAAAAATATTATATGTCAGATCAAATTCTAAAGCACAGGAAAAGGGAAAATCAATGTATGAAAACACCTCAACTCATTAACCTGTGCTGTGGTTTGTTCTGTTTCTATCCAGAGAAGCATTTAATTTCTCTGCAGTTTAAGCATATATATTAAGTAGTAACTTGCTATCTACTTAAGTTTTAAGACAGCATAAATAAATGGGCTGAAAAGAGCCAGCATTGTGGCTACTGTGTTAAGCTGCTGCCTGTAACACTGGCATCTCTAGGGAAGCTTGTTTGAATTCTGGCTGCTCCACTTCCAAAACAGCTCCCTGCTAATGGCCTGGGAAAAGCAGAGGAAGATGGCCCATGAACTTGGGCTGCTGAACCCACTATGGGAGACCTGAATGAAGACTGGCTCCTGGCTTCATCCTGTCCTGGCCCAGTCCTGGCCATTGAGGCCATCTGGGGAGTAAAGTAGCAGATGGGAGATCTCTCTTTAATCTCTCTGTCTCCCACTCTCTCTGTAACTCTGCCTTTCAAATAAATAAAATAATTCTTTAAAAAAATGGTTAAAAAAGCACAAATGGGCTGAACCTAGGAACTCAGCAATTTCTAACAACACAAGTGAATCTTAAATGCTCTATGCTAAAATAAAGACATCTCATATGACTACCTAAAATTTAATTTATATGAAGTTTTTGGAACAGGAAATAGAAACTTATGGTAGAAAAATTAATGTTTATTGTAGTGAAGGGGTGGGAATTGACTGAGAAGAAACATGAGGGTACTCCAGAGTAATTGTAACGTTCTATATATTACAGGAGTTTGGGTAATCTTCTCAAATAACTTAAAAAAAAGTTTTACTTTCTTTAAATTTTACCTCAACAAAAGAAAAAAACAATCGTAAAGCAGTGAGGTTTAACTAACGATATGAATGTTAAAGTATTTAGGGGAAAAATATAGTGCTATCTATAAATTGATGTGAAATGCATAAAAAATAAGATAGATTATTGAATGGAGAGAAATTTGGAAAGTTGTATAGACAAGGAGATAAAGCCAACACAGGAAAATATTAATTGTAGAACCTAGGCAGTGGGTATGAAATTCTTTCAACTTCTTTGTAAGCTTTTAACCTTTTTTACTTGAGAAGCAGAAAGAGGGAGAAAGAGAGATGGAGCTCCTATCTACTGGTTCACTTCTCAAATGCCAGCAATGGCTATGCCTATGCTGGACTAGACGCCAGGAGCCCCCATGTGGGTCGAAGGGATCTAACTACCAGAGCCAGCATCTGCTGCCTCCCAGTGTCTGCACTTACAGGGAGCTGGAAACAGGAATCAGAACTAGAATCAAACCCAGGCCCTCAGACAAGGGATGCAGGTGTTTTAACCTGTGTCTTAAGTGCTAGGCCAAATGCCCACCCCAGTTTTGAACTTTTCATAAAAAATGCAGAACAAAAATAGGCTAACACTGATCAAGATCCATTAATAACAAACCTCGTAATGCTAAAATAAAAAAAAAGTTATTACTTATTGACTTAAAAATTTTCCATTTATCTACTGTTTGAAACTGAAGGAAAGCTAGGCAGTGAGTCTCTAAGAGAAAGGAAATACATTACACAATATAGTAGAATTAAAAAAAACTTAATCTAACCACTTTTCTTCAATGTTTTTTATATTATACAATAAGGGATGTTTATTTCCAATAAAAGAATTAAACATATATTATAAATAAATGTAAAAAAAAGTACATAAAAAACTACATAAGCCATCAGAATTCCCATAAAATTGGGAAATAACATCTGCATATCATTAGCTTTTCCCCTTGAACTTCTAAATTTTTTTTGAACTTTTTCCCATGTCTAAGTGTACATTTTCCTGT